GTGCTGCTTTCTCCTACTTCATGTTGGGGCTAGCGTTAAGGGCAGGGCTTCTTAACCTCACCTCCTATTGCAAAACCATCATTTTAAACCCCTTATGCCTGCAAATGCTTCCTACCCCCGGGAGGGAAGCGGCCACACCAGCCACCTCACGGAGGAATAACCACTCGCCCACACACATTAAAAACTCCAGTGAGCTGCTCCTGAGCAGGGCAAGAGACAGAATTGCTCGTCGGAGAGTTCAGATGTCACCCACAGCCCTGTCCCCACTGCTGAGGTGAGGGACGGGCAGCTTTCTGCTGAGCAGGAGGGAGAAAGGATGCTGAGGTCAAGACCCTGCCCAGGCAGAAATACGGTCATAAAACCCATCTTTTTTTTTTCACCAGAGCCTGAGAGAAGACCTGGTCATTCCTGCAACATACAGTCGACTCAATCTTTTTTTGTTTAACTTGGTGATAAAGTGCTGCCATGCGAACTGCAAGGACACTGGTGGTTATCCTAAGCACACAAACTCCGTATTCCCCCCACTCCCCCTCCATTTCCTATGATGCCCGAGCCACTTCCACTTGCTTTGTCACTCCTAAGGCAATCTCTGAGCACCGCAATTCAATTTTCCTTGCCCAATGGCAGCAGAGAGAGCACGCTAACCAGGTCAGGCAACAAAATGGGAACCAACAGGCCAACACTAATGCACACCAAGGGTCACCAGCACGGCGCCTTCAACCCACCCCATGCTCAGCAACGGGGACACGGACAATACTTGCACGTCTTGACTGGATAGGGATGACCTAAATATCTGCGTTTCAGAGGCAGCAACGTGCACGAGGAACATCTCCCTCTCTTGCCCGTGGTTCCGTAGAATTTGCAAGGGAAATAAACCAAAGAGGATAGTCTGGGTTCCCATGATAGGTCCATGTGGATAGTCCATACCGTTGCTGTCTGTCAATGCCATTAGGAATTCCATTTAGAAGGAACAACGCAAATCTGCCTTCGTTAATCATCTCCTCCAGTTTTGCTAATGAATATGACTGCTGCCCCTTTCTTCTCCCAGATTACAGACCTCAGGCTTTTCCTCCTGTAACCTCAGCTTATGAGACATAAAGATAAGTCACAAACAAGACGAAACAGCCTCGTCATGCAAAACCATAATCCACAGAGCTCTTCAGTCAGGTGAAGCAAAATTCCCACCGTGTACAAATACGGCACCTCCTTGGGGTGGAAGCAGCTTAGATCCACCAGTAGGGGTGTAAAAAAGGGCTGTGGGGCAATGGGAGAGGCTGGATTCAACAGCCCCAGGGTCTTTATGGGTCTACGGGCCTAGAAAACACAGATGCAGAAAGTTTTCTTTATGTTATTTATGTCTTTCTCATCCGGATATAGAGAATTACTTGCCTGCCTTGGCTCCTGCAGCGTTGCTCTTTGTGGCAGGGAATAGGAAAGAAAATACATCCCTCATAAAAGACTACCTGCTCTTAGGGAGTGATGGCTCTGCACACAACGGCCACCTTTTAGCTGCCGCAGGAGGATGAGTGTTCGGTCTTTTAAAACAAAGAGCACAATAAACCACAAAAGAACCTTACAGGTGTAGAGCTGTGCTTTGATTTTAAGGGCAGGGACAGGTCAGAGGGTGTTTCACCCAGCCTGGTTTAACCAGCTCTTTGCTGAGCCTCTTTTGGAAGGATTCACAGTAAACCTGTTGTTCCTCAGTTGTTTTTTTTCCAGTGAGACAAGCTGACCCTACAGCTGCACTGGTCCCAGTGCCCTTGCACTCACTGAGCTTAACGAGGTGAGCCCCAGCTCCCTGGTAAAGGCTGAGTTTATCTGAGCTGCAGCTGCCTCAAGTTTGGTTTGACTTAGAGATGTGCAAAAAAGCCCCTCTGAAATTACAGAGTGGTTTGGGTGGGAAGGCAGCTTAAAGACCACCCAGTGCCACCCCTCGCCCTGGGCAGGGACACCTCCCACCACACCAGGTTGCTCCAAGCCCCCTCCAACCTGCCCTTGAACCCCTCCAGGGATGGGGCAGCCACAGCTTCTCGGGGCAACCTGGGCCAGGCTCTCACCACCCTCCCACCAAACAAGTTCTTCCCCACAGCTCAGCTCCATCTCCCCTCTTGCAGGGTCAAACCCTTCCCCCTCCTCCTAGGGCTCCCCTCCCTGATCCAGAGTCCCTCCCCAGCTTTCCTGGAGCCCCCCTTCTTTAGGGACTGGAAGGGGCTGGAAGGTCTCCCCGGAGCCTTCTCTTCTCCAGGCTGAACCCCCCCAACTCTCTCAGCCCCCCCTCCCAGCAGAGGGGCTCCAGCCCTCCCAGCATCTCCGGGGCCTCCTCTGGCCCCACTCCAACAGCTCCATGTCCCTTCTGATGTTGGTGGCCCCAGTGATTATTGCCAACAGGGCGCTGATCGCAGGAGGGAAAGCTGTCCTCCCTCTGCACCCAGCTTTGCCAGCAGTTTTTTTTGGGCCCCTGAGATGCTCTTTCCCTCTCACGGCTCCACGCCAGCAATGAAAGCTCTACGAGTCCTTTCATACTCACAAGGACATCTATACAGCCCCCAAACCTTCGGCGGCTTAATGCAGCTGGAAGTGCCCGGGCCGTAGTAAGCATCTGTATAGAAAATGAAGATGGAGGAGCAGCCTCCAGCTCCCTCTCTCTCAGCTGCCTCCTCTTTGTGTTTTCTAAGTGAGAAGCAATAAAAGCTGATTTACGTCATTAAAGCCAGCAGATGTGACGGATGCAGACAGACGGGCAAATCAGCTGACTGAGGAGATGCTGCTTTTACTGCTGGGTTTTTGGAGAGGCACCACGTTAGCAGGGAGGAGAGCGAACCCTTGGGGGTCGAGCTGGGAGAGGACCAGAGTCCATTCGTGCTAGGGGGGCATAAATTAGGGGCGGGCAAGATCCGACACCATCATTTTTTTTCCTATTTCCCTTGGCCTCGCTCAGGGTTGTTTGCTGGGGCTTAGGCAGGGGTGGCGATGCCGAATCCTTCCCCCTTGTGTAACCACAACGGCGGTTGCGTCTGCCCTCCTGCTGCTCAGCATCCCCAGAAATCCTTCGTGACACCCACAGAGCTTCCCGTGGGTCTGCCCTCTCCCAGCGTATCCTTCTCAATCATCTCCTGGGTGCCTTTTTCCCTGCCCGGCCGCAGAGCTCAATGGCCCTGAGCTGATGGCTGGAGTTTTTCACCTCATGTCGGGAGATTTCGGCTCCTTCCCAGTAAATCCTACCGGGCAGAGCATTCCTTGAGCTTATCAGGTCAGAGGGAGGTGACAACTGAGGACTGTAAATGAGTGGGCATGAGAGGTGTCTCAGTCTGGAGGGACACAGCCGTGGTGTTAACATTGCCCTGAATTCTGGCATCAATACAGAATCATAGAATCCCATGGGGTTGGAAGGGACCTCTGGAGATCATCTCCTCCAACCCCCTGCCAAAGCAGGGCCACCCAAAGCAGGTCCCACAGGAACGTGTCCAGGTGGGGTTTGAATGTCTCCAGAGAAGGAGACTCCACCACCTCCCTGGGCAGCCTCTGCCAGGGCTCTGCCACCCTCATAGGAAAGAACTTCCTCCTCAGGTTTAAGTGGAACTCCTTATACTCAAATTTGTGCCCATTTCCTCTTGTCCTGCCCCTGGGCACCACTGAAAAAAAGACGAGCACCGTCCTCTTGACACCCTCCCTTTCAGTATTTATAAGCATTGATCAGATCCCCCCTCAGCCTTCTCTTCTCCAGACTCAAAAGACCCAAGTCCCTCAGCCTCTCCTCAGAAGGGAGATGTTCCAGGCCCCTCATGATCTTTGTAGCCTCTGCTGTCCCCTCTCCAGCAGTTCCCTGTCCTTCTGGAACTGGGGAGCCCACAACTGGTCCCAGTCTCCAGATGGGGTTTTCCCTAGTACAGAGCAGAGGGGCAGGATGGCCTCCTTCCACCTGCTGGTCACACTCTTCCTGATGCCCCCCAGGATGCCATTGGCCTTCTTGGCCACAAGGGCACATTGTTGGCTCATGATCAAACGACCCAAACCACCAGGCGAGTTCATCAAACAGTTCCCCAAAGCTCATAAACCCGTCCCAAAGGGGCCAGAAACCACTTCCCCTCCCCTCTTTTTGGGGAAGACACAACAGCTCCATAACAGCACTCTCTTCCTCAGCTCCTTCCTCATCACCAGCTCTCCACAAGCCTGACCCCTTTACCAGCAGGAGAATAAAGAGACAGAGACTGGGCTCGGACGAAAACCATTACCAGGATGGCCTCCGAGTCCTCCTCGTTAGACAGATGCCACCGTGTGCTTGCCACAGCCGTCGTTAGGCCCAAAAGCCTGCACCCCCAACGCACCGAATGCAGGGCCAGAAGCCAGTAATGAGGCTTCTTGCATCCTTTCTGTGTATTTAATTCACTTGTATTAATTGCACTCTAATGCCAGGCAGCGCACAGCTCCTCGCTAGCTTTATTTCCAGATGGTATTTTGAGCCTAATGTCGCAGTGGGAAGTCATAAAAGCTCTCCTGGAGCAAATTACCTGAGGAATCAAACAGTTCCAGTCTCGCTTTAGGGAAAAAAAAACAGGATTTCTGTAGTCTGAAGGAATAGGTTACGCTCCCAGCCTGCCTGGGGGGTGCAGGGCTTTTCTGTGCCTCCCCACCACGGCATGACCACCGCCCCAATGCTTGGTTTAAAAGCCCACCGAGCTCCGTCTCCTCCTTTTGGACACAGGGTCCCATCAGCACATTTTGAAAAAAAACACACCCAGCTCAGCTAGAAAGGAGAAATAAACCACTGCGACTTGACCCGTGCGAGAAGGCGTTACCTGGGGCGTGCAGGACTTCATTTCGGAGAGTGCAGAGGAGGAACAAATCCCCCCCAGGATTTCAGAGCCAAGAAGGGAACGACCAACAAAAAGCATGTTGCTGTGACCCCCCCCCACCCCCACAGTGAGCATTCGGCGATCTCCGAGCGGTTCCCCCCTCCCATAAAAAAGAGTCGGGGCCTCCGGGACCCTCTTTAGACTCACCGTGGTTTCGTCTTCATGGAGCACCTGGTCGTAGCCACTCAGCGCCACGCAGAAAATGATCGCCGTGACGTCCTCGAAGCAGTGAATCCACTTCTTGCGTTCTGACCTCTGGCCCCCAACATCAAAGAGCCTATGGCACAGAAGAAGACCGTCAGCGCCCTGCTCTTCCTTAATGAGGAGGTAACTTCTAGCAGTTTGTGGTGTTTTCTGACCGTGTGGTCCCTGGAAGGTTCCAAACACACAGCAACAGGTCTGTAACCACAGGCTGTGTCTTCTCCAGAGCCTGGAGCTGAGGAGGACCAGGAGGAGCATAGAATCATAGAATCATTCAGGTTGGAAAAGACCCTCGGGATCCTCAAGTCCAACCATCAACCCTGCTCTACAAAGTTCTCCCCTACACCATGTCCTCCAACACCACATCTAAATGACTCTGAAACACGTTCAGGGATGGTGACTCAACCACCTCCCTGGGCAGCCTATTCCAGTGTCTGACCACTCTTTCTGGGAAGAATTTTCTCCTAACGTCCAGCCTAATGTCTCCTAATGTTCAACCTACCCTGTTGCAGCTTGAAGCCATTCCCTTGTTCTATCCCAAGGAATCTTGTTCTATCGCAATTACCTGTGAGAAGGGACCAGCACCAACCTCTTAACAATGTCCTCTCAAGTAGCTGTAGAGAGTGATGAGGTCTCCCCTCAGCCTCCTCTTCCTCAAACTAAACAGTCCCAGCTCCTTCAGTCTCTCTTCATAAGATTTCTTCTCCAGGCCCTTCACAAGGTGTCGCAGCTCAGGGATGTGGGGATCTGTGGGAGATCCTCAGCAGCCTGCTGGGTCGCAAGGGGCCAGCGGAGGTGGAGACTCTTGAGTTTTGACTTTGAGACACTCTTGAGTTTTAAATGCTCTAAATATCACGTGTGCAGCTTTCTGTCATCATGGCCTCTTCTCTCTACTGGCTGGCATCATGAGGGTCAATATGTGGCACTAACCACATGTGACAGACCCACTTTAGAGATAAGATTTGGCCAAATTACATTTATGAGGCTTGACTGGACTCGGGGCTGATCTCATATTATTCCTCCCATCAATGCAGTGTCGTTTGGGTTAGAAGAAGCTACCATGAGCTCCTGTCTAAAAGGCAGTGATTTTCAAGATAAGATTGCCCAACGTTTCATGTTGTTGACCCCCCCACAAACCGCCGTGTCCTCTGCAGTGGGAGCCACCTGTGCATTACCCAGCAGTTTAACAATTTCTCCTTTGGGAGCTATGGGGAAACCCTGAGAGGAATAGATGCCCTGAAACTTGACCAGTATGTGCACTTTTAGACTAACCTGAAGTGGAGGTTTTTGAATGTGAAGTGGGTTTCTACGATGCCAGTTGTTTTGACCCTGGTCCGGAGGATATCCTGCTCCGTGGGCTGGTAGTCTGCAGCTCCGATTCGATCTAAGCTGTCTAGGTAGCTGCGAGAAGAAGGGAAAAGAAAAAGAAAACAGATAAGAATAAGACACGCACTAATCTTTGCCAATCTCAGATGAATCCTTCAGCTTCCTATTAATCTTTTTCAATCTCAGTTTTCACGGCTGGAGGTATTGTAGTTAAAGGAAAAAAAAATAATAATAAAATAATCCTATTCTGGGGAAAAAGAAACGTGAACAAACCCCACTAACCTAAGCATAAAATCTGATAGTGAACCGAAAGCAGGAAATTAAGTGTGAGCCCTGATTGCAATCCGTGAAAATACAGAGTCTTACAATATGACTTGCTATTTTTATTCCCCGGGGGATGAAGGTCCCCCGTGGGTCCATCGTGCCGGATGCTGTACACACGCAGGCTGTGCTGTGAGGGGTTGTTCAGACAAGAGGGGGGAGCACATGGATCTGGCTCCCAGAAGAGAGAGGTTGAGCCGCCTTCGGGAGATGCCTCTGTCTCTGCCGGGAAAGGAGGGAGATGGGGGCAGTTGTTCTGATGAGATGCTGCGCCTCTGGTCAGCCCAAAGGAAGGGAGATGAATCCCCCGGAGTCAGTCACCATTCCAGTTCACAATCCAGCACAGGGCTGGGACTGCGGGTAAAATCCAGGGTTTGCTTAGATGGTGATAATCTGGGAATATAAACTATTTTTTGGGAAGGGGCGGTAAGGCGGAGATTTAACTTTCTAAAACACTTGGATAGTTTAAACTTTGGGTAGGAAGCCCTGTCTTTTGGCGTGAAATGTCTTTGTAGAGGAACCCTACAGCTGCGCACGTTACGACCACCACCCATGTTTTCATCCACACATGAAACAATTTTTTGAAACCACACAGCCCAACTCCATGCAATTTACAAAGAAAAGAGGAAGATCAAGACCACCAGGCTGGAGGGGGCTTGGAGCAACCTGGTCTGGCGGGAGGTGTCCCTGGCCAGGGGCAGGGCATGGGAACTGGTTGGGCTTTAAGATCCCTTCCAAACCGAACCTTTCTATGATTCTATGATCATTCACAGAATCACAGAATCCTCTAGGTTGGAAGGGACCTTCAAGATCATCTTGTCCAACCATCAACCTAACTGACAAAAATAGACACCCACACAACAAACAAGGAACATCATCACTAAACCATACCTCCCAGCACTACATCAACCCGTCTTTTGAACACCTCCAGGGATGGGGCCTCAACCCCCTCCCTGGGCAGCCCATTCCAATGGCTGAGAACCCTTTCAGTGAAAAAATTTTTCCTAATATCCAGCCTGAACCTCCCCTGGTGCAACTTGAGGCCATTTCCTCTTGTCCTGTCGCCTGTGACTTGAGAAAAGAGACCGACCCCCACCTCTCTACACCCTCCTTTCAGGGAGTTGGAGAGAGCAATAAGGTCTCCCCTCAGCCTCCTCTTCTCCAGGCTGAATAACCCCAGTGTTCCCTCAGCATCTCCTCATAAGACTTATTCTCCAGACCCCTCACCATCTTTGTCGCCCTTCTCTGGACCCGCTCCAGCACCTCAATGTCTTTTTTATGGTAGGGAGCCCAAAACTGGACACAGTACTCAGGGAGAGGCCTCACCAGTGCCGAGTACAGGGGGACAATCTATGAATTCTATGAATTTACCCGCGAGTGCAAGCAGGTGTGAGCTGGACCCACTCACAAAAGACAGCGGTGATGTCTAAGCTTGGCTTTCTCTTCCTGTTTAGCTAAATGTGATTTATTCATTCAATTTTTTTTAAACGCAGAGTGACCTAGTCACACCGACCAGCTCGCAGCATATTTCCCCCCTGTGCTTTGCCAAAGCACATCCCGCTTGGCTGGAACATGCCGCCCTGGTCCTGCTGCTGGAGATGCTTCTCCTGTGTGTCCTGGAGGGAGTGCTCTGAGCCAGGGCTCCGGAGAGGGACAGAACCACAGCATCACACCCCAGAAAACTCACTGCCACCGTCTCTCATGCCTCCCCAGCTAGCCTGGAAAAACAAAACCCAACCAAACTCCACGCTATGGTGAAAAACAACCCTCACCCCACTCACATCACACATTTTGGCTACCCACCATATTTATCAATCGCTTTTTTGCTAAAGAGCCGCAAGAATCACGTCACCCAGAATAAAGCATATAAGCCAAGCAGGCTTATTTTTTTGTTGTGCCCTTTTTCAAGCGGTTGAAGCCATTGTGGTTTTTGTGACAGATGCTCCCTTAATAGCCTTATGATGGGCCCTGGATGGATGAATGGGGCTTCATTTGAAATCAGATCCTCCGCTGCGACGGCTGAAGCCATGATCACTCATCTATTCACAACTGGTGTCAACTCCTGTTATTTAAGAGACAGCTGCATTTCTTCACATGTCCCCACAGACCCAGGCGGCTCTGCAGCGCTGTTCTTCAGAGACCCAGCCTCTCCTCTGTCTTCAGGAACAAAAAATTCTTCAAGGTGATGATAAGAAGTGGAGGTGTGAGAGACGGGAGGATTTTCCCTCCCTCCCACAGCTCTTGGCAGTACCCCGAACACTTTTATCACTTCCTCCATCTTCATTTTCCATATTTTCCCATAATTCAACTCTCTTCAATTTATCATTCCCTCTTAATTATTCTTGCCTTTGAGATCCTCCTTTAATGCTGGGAGTGCAGCAAATGAAGAAATCCGCTGCAAACTGGCCAAAGGACTCGGCATCCCAGCAGCCCAGTGTCAGAGGAGTTCATTACTGTAATTACTGCCTTCAACGTGTGATGACTTGCTTGTGAAGAGCAGCATCCTTGAAGCCCCAGGCTGCGTGCTGGGTCTTCAGGGGGTTCTCGCTCTCGCTACCGGCGTGCACAGCCTTCAGCTCTTCCACATGGCATTCCCCTTGGCTTCCCGACAGCCAATTAGCTCCAGATTTGATTGGATCCTGCACACAACCAGAAGACTTGAGAGGGGACCTCATCGACGCTGAGCAATATCTAACGGGCGGGTAGCAAGAGGATGGGGCCAGACTCTTCCCAGTGGTGCCCAGTGACAAGACAAGGGGCAACGGGCACAAACTGTAACACGGGAAAGTCCATCTCAACCTGAGGAGGAACTTCTTTGCTGTGAGGGTGGCAGAGCCCTGGCAGAGGCTGCCCAGGGAGGTGGTGGAGTCTCCTTCTCTGGAGACCTTCCAAGCCCACCTGGACACGTTCCTGTGGGACCTGCTCTGGGTGGCCCTGCTTTGGCAGGGGGTTGGAGGAGATGATCTCCAGAGGTCCCTTCCAACCCTGACCACTCCGTGATTCTATGATTCCCAGTGCTTAACTGGTGCTGTGACAGAGGAATATCCAGTATCTCCAATACTCAGCCTGACCCGGCTTCAGGAGAGCTGAGCTCTGTGCCTCCAGTGCCTCGGCATCACTCCCATGGGAAAGCATCCAGCCTGGCCACTGGGCACCCCAGCTCTGATACCTGCTTGCCCCAACGCACCCTCTGCTTTTTCTATTAACTCCCCTCTTCACCCTCTTCCCTCGCCTCTTGCCTTTTCCACTGTTCTCCACGTGTTTCTCAATGACTTAAATTCTTTCAGCTGCCTGAGTCTGCTCTTCGTCTGCTCCTGGTAGTCTCCATGAGGGCTGGCCATCAGTTTACACAGAGGTACACAACAGCGTCAGTGCTGGTTTTGAGGCTGCATTCCAAAACTGTTTACTCCTCTGGCTGCTCTCCCCTGGAATTTCTCCCATCTCGGGCTGCAGCGGATATTTTTTTTTCCACTGGACTTGGCCGCAGCTGAGCTCCTCTCTCCCCTCTTCCGTGTCATCCTCCTTGCATCCGAGCTGGCATCTGAGCTGTCAGGCCAACATCCAGCTGCGGGGATGGGAAGCTCAAGATGGATGCTGAGCTGATTTTTAGCTGCTGCTTCTTGGGAACGGGAAGCTTTGGATGCTGAGCTGATTTTTAGCTGCTGCTTCTTGGGAACGGGAAGCTTTGGATGCTGAGCTGATTTTTAGCTGCTGCTTCTTGGGAACGGGAAGCTTTGGATGCTGAGCTGATTTTTAGCTGCTGCTGCTTCTCCTCCTCGGTTCCTGCTGGAGGTATCTCCGAGGCTTCACCCAGGGTTCCTTGGAAGGACCTGCTGGGTGCAAGCCTGAGCTGGTGGAGGATGGGATGCGCTGGGGGTGCCACCTCTTTGGGAACAGGGAAACCCAAGTGGGGACAAGTCACCACACATGGGTGACAGCACTCCTGGTACGCCCTCTGAGAGGCAAATCTAAAGGCCAAACTGTTGCTGGAGATCAGTTGTCGCAGCCAACAGGCTCGATGACACATATTCCCCCCAGAAGCTGGCATCTGCTTAACCAGCAGAAATGGGAGCACTTTGGAGGTCGTGGGGGGACCGCTCGGCTCTCCCCTCTTCCGTATCATCTTTCTGCTGGCATCCCAGCTCCTTCCACTTCCCAGCTCCGGGGTTTGCAGGCCGGAGTGGAAGCCTATCTGAAACGATACATCAGCTCCTCTTTGCCTTGCCCAGGGCTTGCAGGGGTTAAAAAACAAGCCGAGGAAAGGTTAGGAGGTTTTTGAACACAAGAGTATTTTTGAGTAACCCGCTAGCATTTATACTCCTGAGCCGAGCAGCTTCATTACCGCTTATATCTTTTATCTTAAACGCTTTGTTTTGAAGCAGATTGCAGGTTTCTGAGTCACCCAGTTTATTGGGCTCGGGGAGGTGAAGCCCGACTCTATTACGCCGCTAAAAGCAAAACGCACAAGAAATAGCATTTCCCAAATACGAGGAGAGGAGCTCATCGAACGGAGGCTACAAAAGGCAGACGCTCTACAAGGACAAGCCAATACTAAATATCTCCACAGAGAAATATTGGAAATAGGGAGTAAAGACAGGTTATTGTGCCTCTGCTCTGCCCTGGTGAGGCCACAACTGGAATCCTGCGTCCAGTTCTGGGCTCCCCAGTTCAAGGGAGACAGGGAACTGCTGGAGAGAGTCCAGCGTAGGGCAACAGAGATGATGGAGGGATTGGAGCATCTCCCTGATGGGGAA